CAGATGAGACTCCGCCGCCTTCACCGAGCACTCCAGGCGACCAGACAGTCTCAAAGCCGATGTGCTTGCATATGAGTGATATCTGAGCAACGTCGGCAGCCATGAGCCGATGTTCTTGACAAATAATAATACGCGCCGCCGCAGGCTCCACGGATTTGTAGAGCGCCCCCCAAGAGTTCCCATTAATAGCGACCATCTCAAGCTGGAAGTCCGAGGACCCACTGGAGACAGGCAAGGGCACGGGCCTCGGGGGCCCCACGTCTTGGGGGCCAGGGGCAACTCCTACCTCGCAAGGGGCCGCGGGGGCAACCCAAGATGTGGACTCGGCAGCGGCGGCTCTGAAAAGCGGACAGGAAACGCTTAAAAAGTCTGATCCCAGAGATCCTGGACTTCGAACCAATGGACGAGGTTCGAGGCGCAAAACAATCAAAAACTGAACGAACGGCCGAACGAGTCATGGCGCTGAAGCAAGCGAAGTCCCCCCCCCCTCAAGCAGAGGGGGGGGCGGCACTACACCCAGAGGCGCGAAGAGCAGCATATGCACGCGCACGAACATCTGGAGCCGACGCCTCGGCAGCAGGCGCCTGCTGCCTGGGAGCCTCGGCTTCGCCTGCGGCCCTTGCACCGCTCGCAGGCTCGTCGGCAGCCTCGCCAACGCCAGCGCCTCCACCAGCCTCAGCGACTCCGTCTTCTCGTTTACGCCTCCTGCCAGCAAGACGGGCCTTGCGAGCTTGATGAGCTGCCTGCGCGGCCTTGCCCTGGTCGACCGCCTGCTGAAACAGCTGCTTGGTCATGTCTGAAATGCCCTTGGAAAGGACCGCCGCGCGCTTCTGCATCTCTTCGCGGTCCGACTCCGACAGCTCCAGGTCCTCATCCGTGGCGAAGTCCTCCAGAATGTCGCAGTTGATGATGGCACCGATATCGACGGAGCCTGACAGCATATCCTCAAGCTTGAGCTTGGCCGTCTCGGGGCTGGGCGCAACCAAGGAGTCCTCCGCCAACTTCTGGACCGCCTCCTCATAGATACGATCAGCATCTTGGAACTCAGCTCTAACTCGCTTGACCTTCTCCGCTTGCTCCTGAGCCTCGGACTGCAAACGGAGCACTCTTGCCAACTCAGTCTCCAGCGCTTCTCCAGACGGCGATCCTGACCATGCTGTTGTTATGCAGTCTGACGAGCCGAAGGAGAGATCATGGCACGCGCCTCAACCGCCCCACGGTGCTTGGCGATGTCGGAGTAGCGGGCAGCACCAGCCTTGTCACCCGCCTTGTCACATAGTCTAGCGAGCTCTGTGGCCTCATCCTTGGACAGGTTGGGCACTGCGCCGACGGGCATGGGCGGGGGTTGCCCTGGATGCGTCTGAGACGCTCCAGGGCCAGCACCTGCACCTCCGAAGCCCTTGTCCTTGCCGCCCTTGGACCCCTTGACGCCAGAGGAGGAGACGTCCGCGACGCTGGGCTTGCCTCCCATGCACGACGCTGGTTGCCAGAAGGCGCCAGGAGGCAATGATTGACGTGACCACGCTCCTTGAGCCACGGGAAGATGACCGGC